ACCCCTAATCCTGCAGGAGATGGAACCTCCATTTATTAGTCCCTGTCCGAGAAGACTAGAATATATAACCAGTTCTTGATGTTATAGAAAGGTAGCAAATTCTTCTAAATTATTTTAAGACCTCCTGCACAACAGTCCAGCGCTCTATCCATTGAGCTAACCGGTAGGTGGTTAACTAACCGGTTTAGGATTTGAAGTCATGCAGCTTCACTTGGACCAAACCTAGGGAATGTGGGAATCAATAATTTGAACCTTAAGCCTCCAAACACTGATGCAGGGTTTGTCTCTTACAGGCACTACTTGGTTGCTTGTTGTTTGGTGAGACGCTGTCCATGAGATGGTGGTTAGGTACATCTCTCATTCTCACAGGCTTGATTCTGATTCACTATAACAGTGCACCCTTAACTGAAGATCAAGGTCACGACAAGGAAGAGTGAATGGGGCTGGAAAAGGCAATTTTTTAACTCGTGAAAGTAGACTGACTATCCCACACAGCTGTGGTTAGTGGAATGAAGGGGATTGTCCGTCAAGATGTGGTTAATGTTTCAAGAAACAAACTTTAAAATTTTAAATTTTATGGAACTTTATATGGTGACTCTTGGTCCTTTATAGTTGAACTGGAATTGGGAGTATTGCTTCATTGTGTCATGAAGAAAACAAGAGAACTGTGAAGAAAAAGTTTGGATTATAGACAAGGAAAAAAACTACATCTTCAATTCTGTTTTTACTACACTACTATGGCGTATGACTAGCTATCAGAGTATTTTAATGGGCCAGGAATAGGCCACCTGTTAGTGGCAATGTGGAAAAGTTTGCCCTTTTTGAAAGTTTGTTAGTTAGTTTTGTGGACACATCATAAATGTTGTCTAAAGGTAGGTGTTGCACATCCTTGTGCATTGTCAAACTCCCCAAGGGGAAGGTTCCAAAGGGGGTTCCTGAATTCTCCATACCACTCACAGGTCATTCATTACAAAAACAGCTGATGTCTCTTTTCATCAAAAAAAGAAGCAGTCCAAACTTCTCAAAAAGCATTTCTACCTATTGTGTCAAAAGGATTAGTCCAACATGTAAAAAAACTTATGTTGTTGTTCTTTTTTTATTAGTGTGCTTTTTCTCTTTGCACTGCTTTCTTTCACACTTTTTATTTAAATTATTAACATTTCCCTTTCTGATTCCGAACAATTTTATAACCCAGATCCAACATTTTTGTAACCGCCCCTGTTTATGTCTCTTGTTGTAATATCTATCTTTGCAAATAATTGTTTTGTCTGATGCTCAACTTAAAATATCCATCAGACTTCTGCTCACTGTCATAAGTGTAGACATGTACAGTATAAATCTTTCAGATTCATTGCTTTCATTTAATAAATGTAGGGATATGTGTACCTAAATTTACCTCATTTTTTTTTTTTGTAAAAGCAAGAAAATGCATTCTTGTCACTATCACTCGTCATCACTATCATAAGTTTTGACACGTTTATATTTAACCTTACTTGATTGTTTCTTGCTATTAGGTGTATGACAATCTTTGCCACCATCTGAGTCCTTGCTGCCAGAGAGAACACATTTATTTCTAAATTTACTTGGTTTTTTGATGCAATCAATTGAAAAATCATTCTTGTCACAACCAGATTCCTCATCACTGTCATAAGTGAAGATGCGTTTATATCTTTTAGGTTTGTTCGTACAGAAGAAAGCATTCATGTCACCATCAGACACCTCATCACTATCATAGGTTCTGACACGTTTATATCTAACTTTACTTGATTGTTTCTTGCTATTATGTGGATGATAATTTTTCTCACCATCTGATTCCTTGCTGTTAGAGAGGACACATTTCTTTCTAAACCTGCTTGATTTTTTTATGCAATCAATTGAATAACTGTTCTCTTCACTACCAGATTCCTCATCACCGTCATGAATTACGACACATGTATGTCTTGACTCATTTGACTTTTTGTCACTCAAATTTGCAAAATCATCATCATCATTATCACTAGAGTTATTAAGATGATTGCTCCTTTCACACTGTTTGTGACCAGGTTTGTTCTTCATTCTGTTATCCTGTTCTGTGACCATTCCAATTTTTCGCAAACTTTCTTGCGTCAAGAAGGTTTCCCCACCACACCAATCTCTTATCTCCTCTCTAATAGCTATGTCCAACTCAGCATAATGTCTATCTGGATTTTCTTCAGTGTCAGTAACTTCATCTGTTGCAACATCTCTAGCAAGAGTTCCATTTTTACCACCCTTGCTACAATTTAGTTTATTACTCATAGAGCTCTTTATCAGTTTCTTTCTTTTGGATACAAATGACTGCGTGACCCATTCGGCGTGAAAGCCTTGTGTCACACAAACATCCATATCACCTGCATCCGCCACTTCTGGTGCCACCCTGTTTGTCCCTGTTTTCTCAACAACACAGCTTTCATCTTCATAGTAGCGGTCAGTTTCTATAGAGAACAAATCTTTTATTATCGAATATTGTTCTCCATCGTGGACATTAATTGCGCGAAGCTCATTTTCCAAGGGGGGTGAAAAGTCAGAGTCGTCATCTATCTGAATAGAGCACTTTTCTTTCCCTTGTTGATCATTATTAGCCTTTTGCTTTTCCTCAGTTCTCCAGGGCTCTTTTGGAAAATAAGAAGTTATTGGTCTCATTTTCAGAGTTATCCCATTTGAACGTTTCCTTGATTTCATTTTCATTTCTGGTGTTGATTGCACTTCTTCACTTTCGCACTGCCGTGTGATATTTTTAGTTAAAGTTTTGCAGTAAGTCCGCAAATCACTCAACAGGCGCCTCAAATTATGGTCCGGGTCAAATTCATCTGTTATTCGAAGCTCCAATGTAAAACATTTTCCGTCGATAACATGACATTTCACATCTGGGATTTTGTCAATTTCTCTTAATAAATCGACTTCTTCAAGCTCATCATATTCATGAAGACTTTTCAGAGCTGTTCCCTTCTGTTTTATTATTGTATTAATTTCTTCCGGATCCAACACAATGCGTCGCAAACTTTCGATGTCTTTCCAGAGGAATAATTGTTTCAAAATGTAAATGTAAAAAGTTGGCTGGCTTTCCTCAAATGAGGAGAAGTAAATATTCGAAGGATTTCCGTTATTTCTTTGGAGAACACTCGTAGTGGATCCCGTAAATGAGAAATGAATCTTCCACGGATCGTCTTCTCCGCTTTTTTCGTTAGTCATCTGGAAAAAAAAAAAACATCAAAATATTCAATTTTACATGTGTAGGACGAGTTACCCTCTGCGTAGGTCACGTTTTTGCTCAAAAATGGAGACGCAAGGGCTCTCTACTCGTGACCACTTATCTCGATATTTCAGCGTGTCACGCAATACTGATGACAACGAACGCGTTGTCACGGGAGGTTGTTTTCCCGGAAGCGAAATTTCCACCTCGCTGCTTCCATCGTTTGACCGTTATAAGCAACGAAGGGTTTCAAATCAGTCACTGTAGATGTAACTGACACATCTTTCTTCGCTTAACTCAAATTATCGATGAAAAGCGTTAAATTTTTACAATTTCTTTCTGAAAAATGATTAGAAACTCCAGCGCGGCGGACAGCTTTCTCAGAAATGTATTGACGGTTTCCAGGAAGAGTCTGCTTACATTCAAGTTTTCTTTATGTACAGTCGAGGATAAGAAAATATTTAAGTCTGATCGACATACGCAAAAACTACATAAGTGCTTGCCCACAACTATTTGCAAACAAATTGATAATCTTGCTCAGCTTAACTGTCGCAATAGAACTCCATTGTTTTGAGTCCACAGGACTAAAATGCGATAAAATTTCAGAAATTTTTTGCAGCGGTATTGCACCGCCTGCGAACGTCAAGTAACTCTGTTTACCTACTTCGATGACTGAAATAACAAGATGACTGGTTATGTGACGGTTGCGACTTAAAAACCTGATTTAAAGCGACAACCTTGGAAATTTTTAACTTAAGCTACAACTCCATGTGAAGCTATTAACCTAAGTTTCTTACCTAGTAGTATGTCATACACTATATTTCTTTAAATGCGCTTACCTTGCACTTATTCACAATTCAACAACTGTATCTTCAGACGTGGGAGCCTAAACCATCAAAGGCCTCCGTACTCGGAAAGATCTTCGACTTTATCGATGTCTTCTGCACCCCAGATTTATACAGATAAAATGAACCGAGGTCAGAAAATTTCCTTGTTTGTCCACTGTACTTAAAAATTTCCGTGATCAATTCACAATCCCGTTTAGCTTCTTGCGGGCTTCACTCTTCACGAAATGTGAGCATTCTTGCATGTGTTTTTCCATGTGTAAAGATGCATATATTGGCGAAACAGCTGATGAGGCAAGACTTGGCCGAGCGTGATTTGAAATCAACGTCAACCGACAGAACTGAATAACGTATGCGCATGCGTTAGGTTTTGCCGGGGAAAATGGCATTTGAGTTGTCAGCAAGGTTGATTTCCTATTTTGTTCCTTCGAGAAGTCATTTTCCTTGCCGCTTTTCTTTTACAGAACAACCTCCAAAAACTTAGTATACCCCCTAAAAATTTTCGAAAATAAATTTTCACATTAAAAACTCTGGAAATAGGGAAATGCCTTTGACAAAAAAAAAATGCCTCGGTTTTAAATGTCAGCCCTCAGCCCTTATCATTTTCCGCTAAATTTTAGACGTAGAACACTTGAGCCCGCGATGTTGACCACATACCCTCTGACGTAGCATTACATCATTCAACCCTGTCCGTCAACGTTCTATTTATCCTACCCCTCCCTCCTAGTGCCTATACAAAACTTTAGTTTTGACATTAATTTGGGCAAAGAAACGTATCACCACAAAGTATACTTGTATTTGAAGGCCTTTTTCAGTTTTTCGCATTTGATATTGCAGATTTTCTATTTAAACGAAGTAGAAGAATGATGATACTCAATGTTCAAAGAAGCTGGTTGACAGTCATAAAAAAAAGGCAATGAGCCTTAAGGAATTGAATAAATCCATCCATAACTAAAGTAGAGGATCATGTTGACATCATGTAACAAGTTTATTGGCTACAAAACGACAAACTATGGGAAATTTTAAACATTATATAGGGTACTAAACACTCGGCAAAAATTTCTGAGAAAATGAAACGATAAATCTTTGCGAAAACGTTTTATATCTTATGAACTCAAAACCTGTCTATTACAAAATTAAGTTCATAGTAGCTAATGAGGCATGAGTGTAAGCTATGACCTACATGCACACATACGCTGCTAATTCTGAGGATAGAGTATTGTAAAATTTAGAGGCTTTCGAAGGAACCTCAAATATAAGCTTGCTAAATTACCTTCCCAATTTTCTCAATCAGATACTACAATCTGAATTTTCGTCGGACTAAACAAAACTAAAGTTATTTTTATTGTTATTGGTGAGATATTGTTAGAAAAATATTCAGAAGGCTCGTGCGAATTTTAGAACATGGACAATTTAGCATATAGGTCTAAATGATAATGCCATCACCTTTATGCTAAGAAATAACCATTCAATCATTCATCACTTGCAATTTTCCAATCAGCCATTCCATCAAATGAAAGTTAGTCACTTACATGTCACATCGTGCTCTTATTTGCTCTTTGCTTTAATCTCTCTGATTAATAGAGGACGATTAACGAAAAGCAGTCGACACCTTTGCTGGCCATGTGATGATATGTTAGACTCATGTTGTCTACGGAAGTAGTGGTTATCAATCGAGAAAAAGTCAACCAGATAGATACGACTAGAAGTACTTTAGCGATAGCTAAAGCTTTGACAGTTTGTGTCCACTCAAAAGGTGATTTGCATTTCCTTTTTTCTTCCAAATATGCCGCCTGCGTACAGGCTATTGTTAGCATTTTTTATTTTCTTCACTATCTGAGTATTAGTAAACAATCATCTTTTAAGGATACTTTATCAACAGCTTACTACTCTCTTTTATGGATTTATCAGTTAACTGCAGGTTTGAGCGGTATGCCCTAATGTTCACTTCCTTCCCCTGAGAATACCATCAGTATTTCATTTAACTGCTTCTAAAATCTTGGCCTCGCTTAAGTGATATAGATTACATAATATTTTACGGTTCATTTTGTATTTACCAGTTCAGTAGGAAGGTTCTTTTATGTGCTTGCAAGCTCCTTTGCTCAAAAATGACCTGACCATCAGAACCAGGTTGTCCTCTCTTATAGGTAGAAAGCTTTGCCATCAAATTAGTTCTCCTTCGACGAGCTCTCAAAGCAAGGCAGGTCGCTAAGAACTTCATCTCTCTGTCGTTTGTACAATTGTAGGTTTGGTTTGGATTTGCCAGACTGAACCATCACCGAGACTGATAACAAGCAGCAGTCTAGTCTGTTTCAATTTGATGGGAGAGTCCTGGTTCCAGGTGCTATTACTATTAGGCGATATGTTTTTAATTCTGTGTCCATTCTTTTTCTTGCCTTCCTAGTGGAGTAGAGACCCCTACGTGCCGCTTCACATTTCACATCCTTACTTGTTGAATTTAACTTGTCACCTGTCGTCCATTTTTTACGGTTTGTTCACTTTCACTAGCTATGCACTGGGTGCATCCTTCGCTTCCGATGAAGATATCTTTGCCCTCTCGCACTAGGAGTCCTGTGTAGTACACATGGCCTTTTTTGCATAATTTCCAGACTCCCCTTTGGTATCCTGGGAAATTGACGAAGTCTTTGGCGTCCTCAGCTGGTAGGTCTGGAAGGTTCACCTCTGATCTTAACAAGGTAACAATAATTTTCAACCATTCGAGATCTAGGGCGTCGTCCTTACCCTGGAGAAACAATTCAAAACGGTCGTGTGCTTTTTTAAGTCGATGAGTACCACCGCTGGACCATGGAATTTGATGCATAATGGCCTTACTTTGGACCTCTAAAACACGAACGAATAAAGAAAACTTTCTTGTTTGGTCGTGCACTTGACTCAGGATTTTCAAATGCACTTGGGGATGCTCAAGGTACGCTTTGATTTTTCCCAACGCGTCTGTGATAATGGTTAACTGTTGATCCAGCCCAGGCTGTTTTTTGATGCTAGCATCCGCAAGTCGCATTTCAGCCACTACCCTTTCTGTTGCTTGGGCCAGGTAAAGAATTGTCAAGTGATTTTTAAGAGTAAAAATAAAACGCATATCGTGCATGCCACATGGATAAGGTTGAGGATGGCGAAAAACTATTTGCGGAAACTTTAGCTTCTTCGCATCATAGTTTAGGCGACGTAAATCCCTCTTTGTGCGCTCAATAGAGTTGACAACTTCATGTGCAAGCTGTTGTACTTTTTCTTTGACATTCTCGACATTTTTCAGGGTCCTGTTGATGATATTACCATAACGGTAGCTAAATGTAATTACTGTTGAACATTTGGGACATCGCATCAGCTGAACATTGTTTCCCTGTTCTTTCACCATCCACTCGTCCATTTCCTCGACTTTTATGATATGACCACAGTCGAAGAGTTGCAAGTATCTTGGAGCTTCTGTATTGTTAGCACGTCCATCAGCTGATTTTATTGAAAGACTTTTCGTATTGCAGATGGCACAAAGCGTAGGGCAATTTTCTCCACACAAACCAATGCATCGGTGGCCACAACGAAGCGTCTTGGGGCAGGGAGCATTGCATGGTAAGCGTTCACATTCTTCTCCACAGAGATTATTGCAATTGCCATGGCGACAACTCCACGTGCAAGGCTGCCTACAAGGTTCGCATGGTGTTGAACAAGGCTGCCTACATTTGTCGTGAGGGCACACCCGACTGCATTTGCCGACACAAGGAGGACAAGGTAAATAGCAAGGAGCTTTGCAACGGTGTAAACAAACCAGAAATCGACTGCATTGACTTTTGCAAATTTCATGTGAACGCCTTCTCTGGCAATTACCGCATATTCCAGAACACTGATGACCACATTGCATTATTTTTCCACATACAACCGGGCACAGTACTTTTTCTGGGTTGTCGCAACAGCGCATTTTGATATTGTGGCTACATCTCAGACGTTTGGTCACGACCTCTTGGCAAGGGTACCCATCACACGGTTTCCCGCACAACCCCTTGCAAAAATGCTGACAGGAAAACTTTTGACGCGGACAAGGTGCCCTACAAATGGCGGTTTTCCTCTCGAAACAGGACACCCTTGTTGTGTGCCCACATGGAAATGTATGCTTCATTTTCCGCATACACTTAACACTTTCACATGGTTTCCCACAAGCACCCTCACAGGGGTGACCACAATTTAGTTTTCTCGTGCATTTCTTCAAGCACACTACACTTCTTGGATCTCTATGACAGGGTAATCGACGGGTATGTTTTACTGGACAATCTAGCTTCTTCCAAACCATCTCTTCGCATTTGTATTGACCGCAAATTTCAGAACATTTTCCATTGCAGTAATGACCGCAGGGCAACTTTCTTTCACATTTCTGGGTACAATCAACCTCAGAAACATCCTCCGAGCAAAGACATTTAAGTCGATGGTATCCACATGCCAAGCTCTTTTCAACTGTTTCCGCGCACGCAAACATACTACAGTCATCACTGCATCTTCCACGGCAAGGATGCTCACAAGAAAGAACCCGTTCACAGGGGAAGTTGCAGGAAACCTCTTCTGCTCTAACAAAACAGGGCATCTCTTTTTCATGACCACAAGGAAGTAGTTTTGTCACCACTGTTTCACATTTTACATTCTCAAGCCCATCTGTGAGTTTTGAACACGCCATGTACTTTTTGTGTTTACAGGAAAGTGTAACGGCGACCCGTTTCTGGCAGCTGTATTCATGGCTGGATTTAGAACAGGGGATATTTACCTCGTGTGCACATGGCAATTGTCGTTTAATCAAAACCATGCACTCTAACTCCTGTTCAACAACGGTCGCAAACGAGCATATGGCAACCATTATATGGCCACATTTTAGTTTCACTTCCACTCTTTTTTTGCACTTGTACACGTCAGGATTTGTATGACAGGGAAGAACGATTTTGTGATGGCAAGGCAAACTTCTTTCAACTTTTTCATGGCACAGTACATTTTGAATACCAGCGCAAAGAGCATGACATTTCATGGACTTTCTGTGTTCACATGGTAGATCGACTAGAATATTCTCCTTGCATTTATATGTTTCAGGATTTTTGTGACAGGCCAATGTAATCGTATGTTGACACGGTAATGTTCTCTGGACAAGCTTCATGCACGGTCGCATTTCACAATTTTTACCACAGAAGTCTCGGCAAGGGTGTCCACAAGGCCGAAGCCTTTCGCATGGCTTTTTACAGATCAAAGCGGCTGGATCGCAGAAACAGGGCATTTGGATGAAGTGCCCACACGAAGGGAGTGTCATATTTATTTCAACCCAGCAATCTTTACATGGTGAACCGAAGTGACACTGTTGTTGACATGGGTGACCACGTGCACACTTCTTTTGGCATGCTTCTTGACATTTTGCTTCGCGTGGGTCCATGTAACATGGAATGGTTTTTTCGTGCCCACAGGAAAGGAGCTTGTCAACCAGAGTTTTGCACTGGTATTTGCTACAATCTTCACAACAAAGACCAGGACACTTATGACCACATAGCAAATCTTTACAACAACCCTCGACGCAAAGAGGTGGGTTGTGCTTTATGGAACATAAAATGCGTACGAAATGTTTGCATGGCAGTTCAAGGTCAATTGTAGTGTTGCAAAGGCATGTTTCGCTGCATTTCCTTGAGCAAGGATGACCACATTCCAGAATTTTGCTGCAGCGTTTGTTGCATTTTCTGTAAAGCATGGGGTCTTGGTGACACAGCAATTGTTTTTCATGTCCGCATGAAAGGGACTTACTGCATAGAACTTTACAAATCCTTGTGCAGTGGCTCCCACAAACCTCAGTACAATTGTGTCCACAACTGAGTGTTTTCTCGCACTTAACGAGGCAAACAAACTCTTCTGGCTCAACATGACACTGTACTTTTTGTTCGTGACCGCATTTGGGGATTATTTTCAGCATAAGGTGCGGACATAAACAGGCATAGGGATGACACCTCCTCTTGCATTGATGCTCATTGCTGCAGGTTTTCCAACACATCTTTGGGCATCGACCCGATTCGTGATACTCCTCTGTAGGGTGACACTTTCTTTCACATGCATGGCCACAGTCGAGGCGCTCTCCACAGACCCTGTCACAGCCTCCCAGTGGGAACTTTCGGAAATCACCCCCATTTCTTACTTCACTACAACGGCCATGCCTCTTGCAAACCAGTGGTAAAGTTTGGCCAATAGCGTTCTTTGTTCCAAGATCATCACATATTTCTTTCCAGAGTGGGCTTTTGCATTTGAGAAGGGTAAAATTTCCGATGCAATAAAAACCTTGACGAGCTCTTGATAATGCCACGCATATTCTGTTCGATTCTTTGAGGAACCCAATCGTGGAGTTGCTCCTCACCAACGAGAGCAAGATAATGTCATTTTCCTCGCCCTGAAAATTGTCGACGACACATAACTTAACCCCTTCAAACTCTTCTCTGGGCAGTTTGTTCTTCAGCTCTAACAGTTGGCCTGCATACATGGTGAGAATAGTGATTTGCGCTCGTTTATATCCTTGCAATAATAGATAACGGCAGAGTGCTATTAGGAAGTCTGCCTCATGAGGTTTGGAAAAACTCTGGAGACCACGAACTTGATACTCAGGCTGACTATGATCGAGGAAGAAAAGATTATGGCGTAGTCCAGAGATATCGTCAAAATGACATACATTTTCATGGTCAATGATCTCATGTTCATAAATTCGTTTAGTTAAGGCAGCAATCTCGGGACGCATGCGGTGTTGGATAGCAAGGCGTTTACATTCCATGTCATTTAGCACCATTCGTTCGAACAGGGAGATTTCGAGGTTGTATTCTGTGGCTAATTGATGGACCGTTGGTTTCGGGCGCAGCTGTTTGTGGTCCCCAATGAGAATTGTATGTTTTGTGTCGCAAGCAAGAGAAGTGATGATATGAGCCTCCATAACCTCAGCAGCTTCCTCGATTATAACAATTTTGGGATCTATTCTCTGAAGCATCGAGTGGTACCTCGCTGCACCGCTGGTCGTCATCCCAACGACCGTTGCTCTGCGTATTACCTCCTCCTCCTCTTGACAGGTAACGATTTTCCATTTAGCGCAGAGTTCTTCGTGTTTCTGTTCGCCTCTTTGGATCTCAAGTCTCAAGCGTTCTCGATAGCTTTTAACCCAGTATAGATACAATCGAAATCGCTCTTTCTCAGCTAAATCCCAGATGTTTGTCACCCTTTTTGCTTCGTCATCAGTCATCGCTGAAATCTTCCTTAACTGAGATTGTACTTTGCTGAATTCTTCTTCCAAAGAGATCTCGTCTTGTGACTCGGGTGATTGGCTTTCAGCTTCAAATTGGCTTTGGCTGTTGTCGCCGTCAATCACTTGACCTCCCCCACTACGTTCTAGGCTGTTTATTTGCCACACGAATGAACGGTCCTCGTAAGTACCGTCTAGGACGCCCCCTTCGTGTTCTGATTCTGGTATTAGTAATAACTCAAATTCTTCATCGCCCTCGATACATCGTTCATTTTGCAGCCTTGAAGCTTCTTCTTCTATGGTGATGGTTGGCTCATCGTCTCCGGGGTCTTCTTCGAGTACGAAATTCCACGGATGACCTGGCTCCTCGAGGCGCTCCGTAATTTCGGCGGTAGTTTCTATTTTTGCCTCAAGAGAAACTGGTGAATACAAATCATTATGCAACGTTTTGCTGTTTGATAAGTCATGTTCAGGACTCACTTCATACAATTCCCCAAACGAACTGGTTAGGTTGAGAGGGGTCGTTTGTGGTTTTTCCGCCTGAGGTTGAGTTGTTTCAAAGGGAAGCATCGTTTCTTCATCGTTTCTTGTATCTCTTTGCGCCTTGTTCTCGTTGGGGCTCTCTTTGGGGCTTTGTTCATCAAATCCTTTCACAAATCCGTCTCCAAAGTAACCACTTGTGTTATTATATTCTAAGGTCGGGAAAGGAGTGCAATCAATACTAACAGCTATTTCACCCTTATCTTCTGGTAGAATGATACACTCCTCTTGGATTTCACCACCTTCATCTATCTTTGACGTGTTTGCGCTCTGATTCAGATCATTCAACCTCGCGTTGTTGCAGAGCCACAATTTGAAAATGTTTGAAATCGTCTTACATTTGGCTGAAGCTTTCGGTGGTGAGACAGCTTGATACAGTTGGTCTGTATGCTGCATCTGCATGAAGCATTCCAATTCTTTAAAATCCATCACATCACCATCCCCCTTGGCAAAAGAACCCTTTAAAGCTCTCATTTCTCTGTTATTTAATCGAATTTTACCTTGTACTTCATCGCGATCATCACGTCGTCTATACATCTTCGTAAAAAGCTTTAGATTACATGCTTGTAGTTGCTCACTTTTACACCTTCCGCCAACTCTAATGATCTGTTTTTTTGGAAGAAAGTCCATTACCTTCTCGAGAAACTGATCCAGAGCATGATTTGTATAACAAACCATCAACATTGGTGACGTTTTACTCGGGTCCCATTGCTGACGGTTATCGAGCAAGCACCGCACAATTTTAGCTCCAACGTAAGTTTTTCCTGTGCCTGGTGGCCCTTGGATGACAGAAAACTCAGTTGAAACAGCTGTTCGCAAAGCTTCTAGCTGGGAACTGTTCAAACGTAGTGACGCGACAGATGGCCAGGCTTCAGGTTGCAGAACAGGTACTTTCTTCGCTTTTGTTAACTTTGGTACATCAAGGGCCTTACTGAAATCATAACATACGGGATCTTGGTCACTTTCGCGCCTTAGATACTCTGGTGGATCCACCTCTGCACAGCATTCAACCAAGTACTTCGTGAAAGGCATGTTTGTTTCATTCAATCCTTGAAGTCCCTTTAGAACGTGACGATAGGCTTCGAAAAAGGCTGGTGACTCAACCATTTGGTATAGATCTCGGCCTTTTTCAATTTCAAAAACACTTTGCTCCTCAACGAATTGAATGTAAACTTTACCTTTCTGCAGGTCTTTTGGGTCTCGATTGGCAACTATTGCAAAAAGCAATGTTTCGAAGTTGTTTTTGGAAAGACAAAGAAATGATCCAAAGATGAGCCTTTTTGATTGGGCCCAGTTTGTCTTGCCGAACTGCGAAACATCAAATTGAACTTCGTAATTAACTCCGGATGTTGTGAACTCCTTGCCAACAATAAGCACTCGCTGGTAGCATTTCATCAGCTGATTACGGTTTTCTCTTGAAACATGATGCGTTATTTCGTAGATACCTTCCCTTAAGGGCTCAAGAAAATCCTCACGTAGCAATCTGAATTGCACATCTAGGTAGTGCTCAACGTCTTCGTAACGTCCTCTTTTTATGTTCTTCCGTAAGAAAGGAACTTCTTGAGTTTTGATTTCTGTAGTCGTTGGACAAATGGGAATTTTTCTAAAATCGTCCGGTGGTTTTTTTTCCGTTGTGCCGGTATAGCGCTTTCCATGCCTTGCTCGTTCGGTTCTTATTATGTCATCTCTTACTTGCTTAAAGTGATTTAACTCTTTCGTCAGCTCATCTTTTCCATCAACAGTTGTCTGCTCCAGGGTTTGTTTCAATTGATCGTAAGGTGGGTCCGCATACGAACTTGGTAAGTGACCCAAATAACTCGTGAACACTTTGATTAAGCAACCAATGAATTCTCCTCGAGATTCCGGATCTTTTAATGCCTTCGTCAATTTAACACGATCAAGCAAGTAGGGAATTTTCTTACTGAAAAATGCTGATCCTTTGAGCGTAGCTAAAATCTTATTCGTGTTTTCGTTTGATGGGGCATCGCAGCAAATTGCTAATGTTTTAGTGAGATCCAATATGAATTCGTCACTGTTGTGCTGTTGCTCTTCTGATCGTAGAAAGAACTTGAAAAGATCCAAACCATCATTCAGCTTCTGAACAATCTCAATGCAATCCATTTCTTTTAATTGTGAGAGGTCAAGGACGATTCGTTTTTTGGGAAATGATTTCTTTTGATTGTGTTTATTTTGTTCAGACGGAAGTGGAGCCTGTGTTGGTTGTTTTTGGTCGTGTTTATTTTGTTCACACAGAAGTAGAGCCTGCGTTGAGTGTTTTGTGGTCGGTGGATCACCTTTTCGAGGTTGATAATTCCAGTTTTTACCTGTATCGTAGAGATTAATATATACTTACATGAATTTTCTACGAAAACAAATTTTATTCTAATGTTACAAACTGTTCGCTGGTCTACATACCAAGACGTCTTCCTTTGCCACGCGACGAAGGCAATCCTTTACTTTCATTGGATTCCCGTAATGCCCCTCTCTCGTTTCCACTAGGATCTTGTTTCTTTTTGTTAAATTTCCCACCTTCAATATCGATACCAAACAGTTAAGCCCACAATCGACACATTTATGACTATGCCAATTTAAAATTTAATACACAGCCGATGTATTTGTTAGCAGATTACCTAAAACACCTGTAATAACCGTTTAAACAGACGGAAATGAGTGTACAAACATGTTTTAAAAGTGTTGCTGGTTATGGGAAGGAAGACAGGTTAATAGTCCTATAAACTGCGTTCCTATATATTAACTCTTTTCAAAAGGTTTTTACCAGGTTTGATGTGGCGCTCAATTAGGATTTTTCCATTTTGATAAATTAATGAAATACTGAAGGTCGTAGGACTCTGTCAAGGATATTTTTTAGTGTCTAAGTAAACAGGCACAATATTTTTCTCTCTAGCAGTTGTTAAGTTTTTTACAGGTACGATTTACAACCAAAATTGTACCAGGAAGTCACTCTACATACCTGCTGAGGCGTTACCAGGTTTTGGTATAGAATCTGCTGATTGGTTTTCTGCTTTTGTCTCCTTCCTGGTTCCTTTTGTGTCAGTTTGTAACGATGCTCCACCATCTAGAAAACAGTAACTTGGTTTTCTCATTTACTTTTTCTTTTTTAATCTTAAAGCTGAGAGCATTACTGCAATAAGTTTGCTTTGTCTTCAAATTGTATCTACAAATGTGTAAAAACTAAATTATGGGAAATCAGAACTGTACTAACCTGAAATCGGTTCTTTTTTCTCATTTGAAGGCGCTTGTGTCTTGCCGTTTGTAAATTTCTGTGGCTTCCTTCTCCCGTGGTCTTTCAGCTCTTTATTCTGTTTTGTGGAACTGTCATCTTAAAATTAAAAAGAAAGGTCATGCAAGGGAGAGTTAAACACTTCTGTTGTAACTAAAGCTTCGATACACGAAACATACCTCTTTTCTCCACTCCCACTTCCTTCCTGGCTCCTTATCTTTGGACATTTCCTCCCCTTCAACCTCTTTTCCTTCGCTCTATCGGTCATTGTACCTTCACCTCCCTTCCTTTTCCTGTGGTATCTCATATTCAAAGTAACTACGCTAACTCGAAACCTACCCTTTCTTTTACATTCCACATCTCTTTCTTCCCTACCTGGGATACTGGGTCTACTTTGTGTTTCATCTGCAACTGTTCCGCAAGCGCCCTGTGGTTGTGACATTCCAGTCTCCCCTTTCCCTTCCTTTTTCCTTTGACGTTTTTCCTGCTTTGGGTTTGATGTTTGCTTGGAATCTACATTGTTCAGTAAACAAATGCTGAGAAACCGTTTCATTTGCAAAAGTTTCCTTTGAAACGATTAATTTCTCAGTTTCTTTTGTCATTTTGAATTAGATTTGTTTTAGATTAACTTTGATGGTCTATTGCAAATTTTTGGTTTCGTAGTCCTTGCCACAGCGGTTATCTTGTCTACGTTTGAATTTGAAATAAAATTGTTTTGTTACCTTTTGATATTCCGCCGGGTTCTTTCAGGTACTTAGGTTTTACTCCTGACCGTTTCTGTGAAGACATGCTGAGTTCTCAATGAGAGCTGAAAAAAAAATTCAAGGATAGAAATCGTATCACTGACAAACCCAGCGTTTCTGGGACTTTAAAATCTCAAATGGCATCGTAAGACACCCTAGCGAGGTACCTGAAGTAAAACAAGCAGTTGTTTTTAAAAGGCCTAAATTCATATCTCTTACAACATGGTGCATCGCTAGAAATGCGAGACAATGGTTATTGCGCAATCAAATTCGAGCCATCTGGCAGCCGGATCAGGATGTAAACATTTATAAGGGTTTGTATGGAACACGCAACTGAAAAGCGAATATCTCTTGAAGACGTACAGAAAGTAAAATTGTGCAACTGCAGCTTGGTAGGCTATTATACCACGAGGAAAAACATGTATAGATCATAATAAAGTAAATGAATTTCATGTATACTTGCGAACGTTTATGATCTACCATTCGCCCCCGCAAAATTTCTAAGGATTTGTGTGACACCTCCAAAGTAACCACTTGTGTTATTATATTCTAAGGTCGGGAAAGGAGTGCAATCAATACTAACAGCTATTTCACCCTTATCTTCTGGTAGAATGATACACTCCTCTTGGATTTCACCACCTTCATCTATCTTTGACGTGTTTGCGCTCTGATTCAGATCATTCAACCTCGCGTTGTTGCAGAGCCACAATTTGAAAATGTTTGAAATCGTCTTACATTTGGCTGAAGCTTTCGGTGGTGAGACAGCTTGATACAGTTGGTCTGTATGCTGCATCTGCATGAAGCATTCCAATTCTTTAAAATCCATCACATCACCATCCCCCTTGGCAAAAGAACCCTTTAAAGCTCTCATTTCTCTGTTATTTAATCGAATTTTACCTTGTACTTCATCGCGATCATCACGTCGTCTATACATCTTCGTAAAAAGCTTTAGATTACATGCTTGTAGTTGCTCACTTTTACACCTTCCGCCAACTCTAATGATCTGTTTTTTTGGAAGAAAGTCCATTACCTTCTCGAGAAACTGATCCAGAGCATGATTTGTATAACAAACCATCAACATTGGTGACGTTTTACTCGGGTCCCATTGCTGACGGTTATCGAGCAAGCACCGCACAATTTTAGCTCCAACGTAAGTTTTTCCTGTGCCTGGTGGCCCTTGGATGACAGAAAACTCAGTTGAAACAGCTGTTCGCAAAGCTTCTAGCTGGGAACTGTTCAAACGTAGTGACGCGACAGATGGCCAGGCTTCAGGTTGCAGAACAGGTACTTTCTTCGCTTTTGTTAACTTTGGTACATCAAGGGCCTTACTGAAATCATAACATACGGGATCTTGGTCACTTTCGCGCCTTAGATACTCTGGTGGATCCACCTCTGCACAGCATTCAACCAAGTACTTCGTGAAAGGCATGTTTGTTTCATTCAATCCTTGAAGTCCCTTTAGAACGTGACGATAGGCTTCGAAAAAGGCTGGTGACTCAACCATTTGGTATAGATCTCGGCCTTTTTCAATTTCAAAAACACTTTGCTCCTCAACGAATTGAATGTAAACTTTACCTTTCTGCAGGTCTTTTGGGTCTCGATTGGCAACTATTGCAAAAAGCAATGTTTCGAAGTTGTTTTTGGAAAGACAAAGAAATGATCCAAAGATGAGCCTTTTTGATTGGGCCCAGTTTGTCTTGCCGAACTGCGAAACATCAAATTGAACTTCGTAATTAACTCCGGATGTTGTGAACTCCTTGCCAACAATAAGCACTCGCTGGTAGCATTTCATCAGCTGATTACGGTTTTCTCTTGAAACATGATGCGTTATTTCGTAGATACCTTCCCTTAAGGGCTCAAGAAAATCCTCACGTAGCAATCTGAATTGCACATCTAGGTAGTGCTCAACGTCTTCGTAACGTCCTCTTTTTATGTTCTTCCGTAAGAAAGGAACTTCTTGAGTTTTGATTTCTGTAGTCGTTGGACAAATGGGAATTTTTCTAAAATCGTCCGGTGGTTTTTTTTCCGTTGTGCCGGTATAGCGCTTTCCATGCCTTGCTCGTTCGGTTCTTATTATGTCATCTCTTACTTGCTTAAAGTGATTTAACTCTTTCGTCAGCTCATCTTTTCCATCAACAGTTGTCTGCTCCAGGGTTTGTTTCAATTGATCGTAAGGTGGGTCCGCATACGAACTTGGTAAGTGACCCAAATAACTCGTGAACACTTTGATTAAGCAACCAATGAATTCTCCTCGAGATTCCGGATCTTTTAATGCCTTCGTCAATTTAACACGATCAAGCAAGTAGGGAATTTTCTTATTGAAAAATGCTGATCCTTTGAGCGTAGCTAAAATCTTATTCGTGTTTTCGTTTGATGGGGCATCGCAGCAAATTGCTAATGTTTTAGTGAGATCCAATATGAATTCGTCACTGTTGTGCTGTTGCTCTTCTGATCGTAGAAAGAACTTAAAAAAATCCAAACCATCATTCAGCTTCTGAACAATCTCAATGCAATCCATTTCTTTTAATTGTGAGAGGTCAAGGACGATTCGTTTTTTGGGAAATGATTTCTTTTGATTGTGTTTATTTTGTTCACACGGAAGTGGAGCCTGCGTTTGGTGCTTTGTGGTGGGTGGATTACTTTTTCGTGGTTGATAGTTCCAGTTTTGACCTGTATCATACGAATCAATAAATACTTACATGAATTTTCTACAAAACAAATTTTATTCTAATGTTACAAATGTTTGCCGGTCTACATACCAAAACGTCTTCCTTTGCCACGCGAAGGAGGCAATCCATTACGTTCATTGGATTCCCGTGATGCCCCTCTCTCGTGTCCATGAGGATCTTGTTTCTTTTGGTCACATTTCCCACCTTCAATATCGATAGCAAACAGTTAAGCCCACAATCGAGACATTTATGACTAAGCCAATTTAAAATTTAATACACAGCCGATGTATTTGTTAGCAGATTACCTAAAACACCAGTAATTACCGTTTAAATGGAGGGGGGGGGGAATGAGTGCACAAATATGTTTCAAAATTATTGCTGATTGTGGGAAGGAAGACAGAAAAGTTGTCTAATTAACTGCGTTCCTGTATAGTAACTCTTTTGAAACAGTTTTTACCAGGTTAGGTGTGGCGTTTACTTAGGATCTTTCCATTTTGATAAACTACTGAAAGGTACGATTTACAACCAAAATTGTACCAGGAAATCACTCTGCATACCTGCTGTGGTGTTACCAGGTTTTGGCGTAGAATCTGCAGATTGGTCTTCTGCTTTTGTCTCCTTTTCGGTTTCTCTTGTGTCAGTTTGTAACGATGCTCCATCATCTAGAAAACAGCAAGTTTACTTTTTCTTTTTAATCTTAACGCTGAGAGCATTACTGCAGTAAGGTTGCTTTGTGTCTTCAAATTGTATCTACAAATGTGTAAAAACTAATTTATGGGAAATCAGAACTCTACAGACCTGAAATCGTTTCCTTTTTCTTATTTGAAGGCGCTTGTGTCTTGCCTTTTGTAAATTTCTGTGGCTTCCTTCTCCTGTGGTCCTTCAGCTCTTTATTCTGTTTTGCGGAACTGTCATCTTAAAATTAAAGAGAAAGGTCATACAAGGAAGGATTAAACACTTTTGTTGTCACTAAAACTTCAATACATGAAACATACCTCGATCCTTTCCCCACTCCCCTTCTTTCCTCGCTCCTTATCGTTGAACGTCTCCCCACCCCCCCCACCCCCCTTTTAACCTCTTTCCTTTCGCTCCCTTGGTCATCGTACCTTCATTTCCTGGCTTCCTTTTCCTGCAGTATCTCATATTTTAAGTGACTACGCTAACTTGAAACCTCCTTAATAATTTTGCTTCACTGCATTCCTCTGCCCTTTCTTTTACTTTCCACATCTCTTCCTTCCCTACCTGAGATACTGGGTCTACTTTGTGTTTCATCAGCAGCTGCCCCGCAAGCGCCCTGTGGTTGTGACATTCTAGTTTCCCCCTTTCCTCGCTTTTTTCTTTGACGTTTTTCCTGCTTTGGGTTTGATGTTTGCTTGGAATCTATATTGTAGGGTTAAACAAGGATTGAGAAACCACTTCATTTGAAAACATTTCTTCAGAAAAAAAATTCTTTCTTCTCGCTATTTTATAATAGATTTGTTTTGGATTAACTTTGGTCCATTGAAAATGTTTGGTTCTGTGGTCCTTCACACTGCAGTTATCTTGTCCACGTTCGAAATTGAAATAAATTGTTTTGTTACCTTTTGAGACTCCGTCAGACTCTTTCAGGTTCTTGGGATTTACTCCTGACCGTCTCTGTGAAGACATGCTGAGTTCTCGCTGAGAGCTGAAATTGAGAATTCAAAGGAAAGAGATTGTATCACTGACAAACCCAGCGTTGTCCAGTCATGGTGCACAAGACTTGCTTTCTGGTTAATGTCGATTTGGTTACAGTTGGGTATCGTTCCCAGAATTGAATTCGTGGGTTTCACGTATACAAAGGTGAAACTTGATATGGGACATCTTAAAAAAAACCTAGGAAAGTTACTTAAGTAAAATAATCAGTTCATTTTAAAAGGCCTAAATTCATATCTCTTACAATATGCTGCCTATAGTTGCTAAATGGAGAGAACCGTGTACCTTCTATTGTTTGCTCGTTCCTTTAACAGCGCCTACGGATGCATTAAGACTTCTGGAATCCTGAAGTCCTCACTTGTTTCCGGAAGAGCTATGAAGTTACTCATATTTATTATTTATTTATTTACTTGAGGATTTGTACCAAGTACTGGAGCAGAAACAATTGGACATGGGTCCCCTACGAGGTTTAAGCTCCAACAAACCCACCCATCTCACCCCAGGGGAGGACATCCATCACACCGTAATCTCGTGCGTGGGAAATTAACGTCTCCTACCCCTAACCCTGCAGAAGACGGGACCTCCATTTATTCGTCCCTATCCAAGAAGACTAGAATATCTAACCATTTCTTGATGTTATAGAAAGGTAGCATATTCTTCTCAATTATTTTAAGACCTTGAGTGTTGGTCCGGCCGGGGCTCGAACCCTCGACCTCCCGCCAAACAGTCCGGCTGCGCTCTATCCATTGGGCTAACCGGGAGGCGGTATTTGGAAAGGTTCTGCCAGATAAGCAGCAATCTACCCTAAACAAACATTCCGAATAATGAGTTTCCGTCACAAATTAGAGCAATCAGTTTGTTTCGATTTTTCTCCCTCACAAAAATATCGTGTGATCTTTCATCGGCCAGAGACGAAAAACGTATCAGTTACCCCGCCTTTAAGAGGAGGGTATACCAAATCAAATTCTAGACACACTCTCGCCTGCACACAACCTTGTATTAACACTGCACTTCATGACATAGTCCAGTTTTTCACTGGTTCTGTTTGACTTACCCTTAAAGCTTTAGTTCCCCTACGACTGTCAACAGATGCAGAGGCGATGGTATGACCATGGCACTAAAATGGAAATGTATCACGGTCATCATCGGCAGAGGTGGTTACTCATGTCAGTAGGGGTACTCAACTCCTGGAGTTAAATAAGTTACTTTGCTAAGCGCGTAGAACGTGCAAGGGATGGAAAACTGTCAGTGGCTAATCTGGTTTACTCCGTAATGGGAGAAGGCTACTTGAGGGCATGCATTTTAGAATGTGACCAGGATTTTGGTCTAGGGTAGATTAGTAACTGGATAATAACTTTGAATAGCCACAGTTCACGAAAAAATCTTGTCATTTACTCACTGTACTGACTACGACAATAATCATTTGATGTACAGATTCTGACTAAAATCTGAGACTATTCACAAGTTTATCTCTTCACAGTCATGAACTACAGTGAGTGAATTTTCACTTAAATTTTAAATAATTAATATGCTTAGAAGAGTTGTTTCTTAGAGAAAATAGAAACCGTTTGTTTTATCAATTATTCTGTAGACATTCCCTCCAGAACCCTGCGAGCAGAGGTCCTTCAATCTTCCTAGATTAGTCGGGAAGAGGAAGGAATCTCTGCGAGCCGCCTCGACTTTACCTATTGAGTGTGCGTTAAATTCAAATGTAACCGAGCCTTGCTCAGCCTCGAGTCCATCAGCAATTAACTATTCATTTTGTCGCAACTATTTTCCCGCGAGTTTCTTGCAAGGAAAACACGGCAAATACCGAAGAATGATTCGTTTAAAAAAGTGTAGTGTAGTGTGTTGTAGTTTTAATTCAGGCGATTCCATCATGGAATCGTCTGATATTTTTGGTTCTCCAGAAACGCCAGTGGAAAAGGTGACGTCCAAAGCTCGTGCTTCAAGAAAAGATTTGGTGTGCTTGTTATGCGGCATGTTCCGAGCGAAATATTCTCCGTCTTGTCGCAAGATGGTAAGCGTAAAGCGTCTCACAAAGTCAAGTCGATCGCCCCAGACACTCTAGAAAATCCGGTCTGGTGGATTGTCGCTTTTATCGTCAAACTTTAATGACGCGGACGAAGATTTGACGACTTTGAGAAATTCACGAGCGTAAACAATGAACTGTGGGCGTCTATTTAGTCAGCAATTTCTAACAACACATATGCGCACCGAGCCGAAACAGGGAAAACTGGTTTCCAACCGGACTGACTCATCCGCTTCGGTGGATGAGCGGCAATTCAAAGAAAGTCGAGGCGGCTCGCAGAGGTTCCTGCATACATACACACATACATACATAATATTATCAGCAACGAGTTGGGTTATTTGGTCCAAGACATTTAATTGCTACTCAGATTTTCATGGGTCATCAGAAGCAATCATCAGGCAACTCCTAATGATTGCTTCTGATGAAGCATGAAACTCTGAGAAGCAATTAAATGTCTTGAACCAAATAACCCAACTCGTTGCCGATAATATTATCTACTGCTCTAGTCCAACAATTGAGCCCTTTGAGAGTCGATAAGGAACATTCCAGCCTAATAATTGGTTACATACATACATACATACATACATACATACATACATACATACATACATACACACATACAAGACAGTCTTCCAACATTGGAGTTTGCCCTCTACAGCCAGTTTCAAATTGTCCCTCATACTTCGTATATTTAGACTTTTTCTAATAATTGTTACAACTTGCTCAGGACCTTCCTCTTCCCGACTAATCTAGGAAGATCGAAGAGCCTCTGCTCGCAGGGTTTCCATCCAGTTAAACATATAATCAATGATTAAAGACAATCAAGCGGGCTGATCTTAATAGATCGAGAACCTTCGAGATTTCAATGGACGAATTTTCTGAACCGGTCAATACAAATACAGACAGACTTCACACTGCAGAATGCAACTGGACTCCAGAAACTGCGTACTTGATAACATGTCAACTTTAATACAACGGACAGAGTGTCACACAATCGTTTTCCCGCGATCATCTTCCACGATCAGTTTCACTGTTGTGGAATATTCTGGCTCCGCTAGCCCCTATGGTTATTCCAGGCTGCTAATACTCAAATTTCTTTCTAATAATTTCTTTCAATTATGTAAATTTTTTGCGTAGAGCAAGTATGAATGTGAGAACAAATAAAAAAAATAAATAAATAAAAGATATTCCTCGCCCGTTCCCTGGTATATTTTGTTTATACTGACCGATAGCCAAAATGTGAACAGCTTACCATTCACCCAACATCACTCCAGCATTTCCAAGTAGTTTCAACTCTATCCAAGACTAACCCATTGGCTGCCTATGTTTCACATGTAGAATGTATATTTTTGCAAAAAGGAATTTAATCATCTTCAAAACCCACTTACACGTAATATATCCACATCTTATTCACAGTTTCCTTTGATTTATCTCCGCCGTTGCAAATCTCAAGTCATGTTATTAACCCATTGTAAAATGTCACTGAATAGTAATCAGTGTGGGTCAGATTCCAAAACGGACGATTGAGAAAGGCTTGTCGAACATAATGAAAATACGTTGTTGTGTGAGGAAGGCTAACAACGCCCTTCATTGATTTGAGTTTATTTGATTGGTATGTGCAGAGAACCTAATTCGGTTCTCTAAATGCGACAGGTTTTAGCGTTCTCAGATTTCCGTTAGTAAGTCATCCTTAACCACCAATATGCACAACATCAATCTGAAAATTATAATTAATCAAACTCACAGCTGTACTTCACTTTCCGAAAACTACGACTCTGAAGATTCCACTTTCTTTTTGAATAATGACCTCTTGTCATTGTCTGTAGTTCAAGTTTGTTTTGAATTTCGAATTGCTGGAACCGTCGAAGCACTAACATGGCGGCTTTGATATTGTTTGAGTACGACATTGCATCCGCTGAACTGTGCGTTCTACCTTACTTTCTTCAAACATTTTCAGTCAGAGGTATCCATTAAGAACTTTCTATCGCATCTTGTCGACGTTACACGCATGATCGTAAAAATTCATGGAAATTAATTGTGGATAATTTATTTAAATCTTTATTTTTTAAATTTATGCTTATGTAAAGACTTGTTGTTAGTCCTAAACCGTTTAGGGTAGTAATTTTCACAAGGTCTAACCCAAACCGCGGTTCTACGCAAGAAGAGGGCCTGACTTATTCTCTTTAAGAGAGTTGTTTTCATTTAATTAATGTCCTTCCATTGCTAGCTGTCGGCCCTCTTGACACTGTCCACAAAAACAAATGTTCAGACTAATGATCTAGTTAAATTCATGATGGTTTAGAATGCGGTTTTGCTATACAACGGCCAAACTTTTTTAAATGACCGGCCCCTTTAAGTTTAGCGAATTTTCCTAAGTATTTCAACTGAATAACAACTAATTAGATCAGCACAACTTCGGCAAGCCTCCATTGCGAAGGAATTAGGAAATAGGTGAATATAAACATTTCCTTACCCGTTCTCGCCCTCAAGCAATCACAAGGAAGTGTAGACACTCGCTCACAGCACAAACTACCAACAAGTTAGGGACCGGAAAATAACGAGATAAGACTTTGTTGCTTCGGTAGACAAGTATATGCACGCAGTGAATTGATACTGGGTTAGAAACAGATTTGGATACTTGATAACAATGTCTGTTTAGATAACGGGTTTTTTTTTCTTTTCTCGGAAATAGGAATTAAGTAAAAATAGATCGCAGAGTGGAAAACGGAAAGCGGAATTAGCTATATCATGGCAGTTGACAGATGATATTAAGTTTTGAAAACGACATAAATGGCTCAAAAGACACACCAAATTTCCTATCCTTCAATTACGCTGAAGTGAAAGTAAGCTTTGTAAATTAAACGTTAATTTTGGCTGGATCAACAAAACATCGGGCGCTTTGCGCATCAGATACCATTTGGTAGACTACTGTAACTCATTTTATACATTATTTACGAAAAGGAATGATTTCGCTTTAAATGTTCCAGCCAGCATGGAGTTTGCATAACATTTGTTCAATTGCTCTTTTCTGGCTGCGCAGATATCTTAATCTTATCTAGGTTGGTACGTTTACTTTGCCTTATGAAAAGCTACGTTGTACGTATTACTTTAATAAATAAAAGTTCGCAGATAAATCTGTACTCGCTAACCTATTCACACACCCTTAATTATTCAGTTTTTCGCTATTCGCCATCTCATTCATTCGCAAAAGATCCTGTTCTTTCTAATTGTGCATAAGTAAATACGTCTGCGAAAGGATGAGTTCTTTTAGCAGGTAGAGTAGGTTTCTTTCCTGTTTCACTCACGCGTAAGCCACTGCATATTCTGAGCTGCTCTCTGAGGCAATCTTCCATGCCTTTTATGATAACTCGCACACACTTCATGTAGCTCTTTCCGTGACAAATTCTTTGGTTTCTCGAATGGGGTCGTCGATAGCTGTAGATAGCCGGACGTTTCGATTCCAGGAAAGTCCCTGTAGGCAAGCAAAAGTCAGGACTCTCCAATGTTTTAAAAGACCTGAGGGAACATAAGGGACTACGATTAACAATTAACAAGAATTGCCTGCAAATATCCAAAGGTGCATTAAGATTATTCCTTCCATCATTTTGGTGTACCGATTATCCCCTTTGAATCGGAGAAATTAAAAAAAAAATTAATCGAAGAGAAAAAAAGATATAGTTAAAAGCATGCACGAAGTTAGTTACTTGAGGTTGCAAATGATGACCTTTAAAGCAACAAATCTAGGAACGTTTTGAGTCGATGCCGTTTAAATTTGCGTGATTTTCGCACAAGTTATAGGTCTAATTGATCCATACGCTCGAGAATTTCTACCTATCAAGTTTTTTTCAAGTGTGAATTTGAAAACCCTTGCTTCCAGCTACCGCAAGTGTACCATAAACCGATGAAATGATGCGCAAGATTAGTGCCAGAACAGGCTTAACTAGGGTAAGTTTGGCCCATCATACCTCTTTAACAAGCATTGTGACCTATTATTTTTTAATTACATTTTTCGAAACAGACATCGGTAGGGAACATTTAAGGAAAGGTTAAAAGAAAAATGTTCGATTACCTTTTTTTCTGAGGAATCACCTTGCTTCGAAAGCTTGATTTTTGACATATCCCACGCCAGTTCGACAGGTCTCGGTCTGATTCAACGCTGATTTCTTCCTTTTTTCTGTTTAACTCACCTTATTCATTTTATCCAGTCTCACTTCTTGTACATCTTGTGCATCCTTTACTTCCAATCGGTATGTCTTCGCCCCCTCGCACAATCCATGTCATGTAGTAAACATGACCTTGTCCACATAACTTCCAAATGTCACTTTGGTATCCAGGGAAGTTCGAGAAGACTTTTGCTTCCTCAGGCGGTAAAGGAGCGAGTTTTACCTCTGCACGTAACGCGTTAACGATCTTTTCCAGCCGTTCAAGATCTAAAGCACCATCGTCACCCTGGATGAACCCTGAAAACCCATCGCATGCCAACTTTAATCGAGTTTCACCAATACTTGACAGGGCGATTTTCTTCCTTACAATAGTGTTATAGACTTCTAAAACACTAGAAAATAGGAAGAACTTCCTCGCTTGTTCGTACACTTGACTGAGTGATTTCAGATCCAGTTGAGGGTCTTCAAGGTACTCTTTGATATCTTCTAATGCATCTTCCAATGTAGCTTTAGATAAATTCCCCACCTTATGTTGGACTTCGCATCCAACTTTAAAACCTTTTAGCAGTTGTTCTGCTCTCTTTACCTGCTGAAAGATGATCAGATGATTTCTAAACGTCGACTTAAGGACACTGTTCTGATTTGCATCAGGCAGATTGAAAGGATTCCAAGTCCATGGAACTGCCTGAACGCAGTCTAATTTTGTTTGCTGGACCCTCTTCTTCTTCTTTCTGTCATGTTTTGGCCGCTCAATAATTAGATCTTTTCCAAGCTGTATGGCTGAGTTAGTTACTTCATTTTCAACCTGTTGCAGTTGTCTTTTAACATCTTCAATGTTGGTCAGTACCCTTTTGATGATGTTGGCATAGCGATAGCTAAATGTTATTGATGTAGTGCACTTCGGACATCGCAAGAGGTGTACGTCATTACCTAACTCAAGCAACACCCACGCATCCATTTCATCAACCTTTACAATATGACCACAGTCAAATAACTGTAAGCATCTGGGAACTTCCATTTTCTCACCACGTCTATCACCAAATAGGGAAGAAAGCTTTTTGGAGGGGCAAATGCCGCATAGAGTGGGACAATTTTCTCCACACAGCCCAATACACGGATGACGACATGGGAGCTTCTTGGTACAGGGTGCATTACAGCGAGGGCGATCGCATTCTTCACCACAGAGATTGTTACATTGATAGTGAGGACAACTCCAGGTGCATGGTTTTTTACACGGCTCGTACGGTTTAGAACATTTTTCGGACCACTTTCCATGAGGGCACCCTCGGCTGCAATTCCTGTCACATGGAGGACAAGGCTCGCTACACAAAGCCTTACAACGGTGGAGGCATACGAGCAATTTGCCACATGTATATTGACATAATTCATGTGAGCCTCTCGGTTGACAATCTTTACATGCCCCAGAACATTGGTGACCACAGAGTAGTTTTTTCCCACACGGAACGGGGCATTCAATGGCATCAGCAGTCCGGCTACAAAGCATCCTTATTTTATGGCCACATGCAAGGGTCTTATTCACAACTACATCGCAAGGATACTTGGAGCAGTCGTCACCACACACTCCTTTGCACATATGTTTGCACCTACTCTTTCGACGCAGACAGGGTTTGATACAAGTTGCACCTTCACTCTGGTAACACTGAAGTGGTTCCTCATGACCACAAGGGAAACGTTTTTCTACTCTTCGGATACACTTCATACCGCCACAGTCTTGACTGCATAGCCCCGGACACGGATGACCACAAACAAGAGTTCTGTTGCATTGTTTCTCGCATTTTGCAGTCCTAGAGTCCTCACTACAAGCCATTTTCTTCCAATGGTTTCCTACGCAACCGAGTTGCTTCCACATCATCACTGAACACTTGTAATTATTGCAATCTTCAAAACATTTACCAGGGCATCTGTGCCCGCAGGACAACGTAAGGGTGCAGCTGTTCGAACAAGTACTCTGTGACACATCTTCCGAGCAACGGCAACTTTTCCAATGTTTTCCGCATGCTAGTACCTTTTCAACTTTGACTGCGCATTTGAAAGTTACACATTTATCGCCACATTTTCCCGGGCAAGGGTGGTTACATGGAAGAAGTCGTTCGCAAGGAGCATCACAAAACGCTTTCTCCGTCTGCGATGAGCACTTCATTTGCTTTTCATGATTGCAAGGTAATTTCCTTGTCATTATTTCATCACATGGTTCGTCTCGTAATCCACGGCTCACTTTGGCACATGCTATCAGCTTCTTATGTAAACATGGAAGGGTGATTTCAACCTCCTTTTGACAACAATAATCTTCAGGATTTATATAACACGGTAGGGTCTCGTTATGTCCACACGGTAGTTTTCGTTCCACCTTCTCCTTACAGTTAACACTTTGCAAGCTACCGGTAGCAACGAAGCAGAAAACAGTCTTGGCATGTCCGCACGATAGCTCTACTTTAACTTTCTGCTTGCAGTTGTACTCTTCGAGACCTTTATGGCAGGGGAGAGAAACCACGTGTTTACAGCGTAGTTCTTTTGGGACGATTTCGTTGCACAAAATCTTTTCTTTTCCAGCCTTTGCAACATAACACTCCAAGACCTTACTATGTCCACAGGATAAATAAACCTCGATCTTTTCCTTGCATTTGTACCTTTCCGGGTCCTTGCGACAGGGTAAGGGGACTGCATGACCACATAGTAACGTTCTGGTTACAATTTCCTTGCACGGCCGTGTTTCGCATCCTTTACCACAAATTTCATGACATGGATGTCCACAGGCTCGTACTCTTTCACAAGGTCTATTACACGTCACTGTGGCTAGTTCTACGTAACAGTAGATTTCAATGCTGTGTTTACATGATGGAATTGTCACATTAACCATTTCCATGCAATCACCACACGGCTTGTTAAAGTGGCAAGGTTTTTGACATGCATGACCTCCCTTACAGATCGTTTCGCATAAATGTTGGCATTGAACCTCTTGGCACTGTCGGCCGCAAACAGATGAGCACTTGTGACCGCATTTCAGCTGCCTTTCACAGGGTGCGTTACAGGAAACCTCTTTTGGGTTCATGTAGCAAGGAACTATTTGTTGGTGGCCACATGGAAGGCACTTGGAGACAGCACTTTCGCATCGTTTCGTTCCACAATCCTCGTGACATTCAGCCTGACAAATGTGTCCACAGTCCAGTTCCCTTTCACATCTCTCAGAGCATAGCTGAGGATGCTCTTTATCGCGACATAAAATTATTTTTTGATGTCCACACTCCAATTCAACTTTAATGCTGCTGTTACATCGACAGGTATCGGTGCATCTCATCGAACATGGGTGGCCACAGTCTAGAACTTTTGGACAGCTAGCGTTGCATTTTCTATGTTCCATGGGGTTTTCAAAACATGCCATCAACCTTTCGTGCCCGCATGGAAGGATTTTCTTGCACTGAACAAGACATTTTTTAGTACATGGAATAGCTCCACATGAATTCGTGCATTTGTGGCCACATCGGAGGAGTTTCTCGCATTGGGCTCGACAAGAGCATTTTGACGGGTCAGTAGCGCAAGGAACTTGTTGTTCGTGACCACATCCAGGGATTATCTTTGTCACAAGTGCAACACATTTTGGACATTCCACAGGAGAATGACAGACAAGTCGGCACTGATGTCCATTGGAACACGATTCGGAACATGATTTCAAGCACTTGAAGTTCTGATGGCGTGGGTCGTGAACATGACATAAGCTTTCACAGGCATGCCCACAATTAAGGCGGTCTCCGCAAATCTTCTTGCATCCTCCAAGTATGTTAAAGTCACTTCCCGATTGTACATTAAACACATTACTGTGCCTCTTGCAAACAAGCTGCAGATTCTCGCCGATTGAGTTTTGCGTTTGAAGATAATCACATATCTCCCTCCACAGCTTACACTGGCTTTTCAATAGGTGGAAATTTCCAATACAGTAAAATCCTTCGCGTGCTCTTGACAATGCAACACAGATTCTGTTCGACTCCCTCAGAAAACCAATTTTGTGTTCTGAATTGCTCCTCACCAGTGACAGTAGAACTATGTCGCTTTCTTCACCTTGAAAATTGTCAACGGCACATACTCGTATTCCCCCAAATATTCGTCTTGGCATTTTCTCTTGAAGAAGTAACAACTGGCCAGTGTACATGGTGAGAATTGTAATTTGGTTTTGTTTGTATCCTTGAAGCAAAAGGTAGTTGCAGAGTGCTACCAGAAAGTCCGCTTCGTGAGGGTTGGAGTAGCTCTGTAAGCCACCTTCTAAATTCTCAGGTTGGCGATGATCGATGAAGAAGAGGTTACAGGATACACCTGTGATATTTTCAAAGCTGCATACAGATTCGTGGTCAATGATCTCGTGTTCATAAATTCTTTTCGTCAGTGCGGCAATCTCTGGGCGCATGCGATGCTGTATACTTAAGCGTTTGCATTCCATGCAGTTCATTACCATTCTTTCGAATAGTGAGATTTCCAAATTATATTTTTGGGCCAATTCGTAAACTGTTGCTTTTGGACGGAGTTGCTTGTGATCTCCAATAAGAATAGTGTGTTTTGTGCTGTGTGAGAGAGACGTAATAATGTGCGCTTCCATTACCTCGGCTGCTTCTTCGATGATAACTATTTTAGGGGCCACTCTCTGAAGCACTGAGTGATACCTTGCTGCACCACTGGTAGTCATGCCAATGACAGTTGCACGACGTATTACCTCTTCCTCTTCTTGAAATCTGACAACATCTAGCTCGTGGCAAAGTTGTTCGTACTCCCTTTCACATTTGTGGATTTCAACTCTATACCGCTCACGATAGCTCTCCACCCAGAAAAGGTATAATCGAAGTCGTTCGGAGGGCGATAACAACCAAATGTCCTTGACACTCATTGCCTCTTCATACGTCATTGTTGTTTCTTTTTCTAACTTCCTTCTTAAATCATCAATATTCGCTGTGAGATGAATTTTTTTGATTTTCTTCTTTTGCTTCTTTTTCTTCTTCTTTGATGAAGTCTTGGGGTCAGTATTACCCTCGTCTGGAACATAGAATACTTGCTCTTCCTGTAACGCACCCTCAGAGCTCTCAGATATTTTTTGTTTCATGTGGAAACGAACTTTTCCCTTCTTTTTTTTCTTATAAACCACTATTTCCCATCCCTCTTCCTCGTGTTTTCCCTCTAGCTCTGGACTTCTTTCGTCTCCTGTTTCCGTCTTTGATGTAACAGGAAGGAAATCGCCGTCTCCATGCAGACATCTTTGATACTGTATCAAATCAGCTTCCTTTTCTACTGTAATGGTCTCTTCAAAAATTGCTGAAACTTCATCAACAGTCTCAGTGTCGTTATCCTTTTCAGTTATAAAGTGTGTTTGAGGACTGGCTTCCAAAGCAATTGATGCTGTTAGCGAGGTGTCTCGACTTACGAAACTTTCCGGTGCTTCTCTTGTGGCACTTGCGAGGGATGTTGCCTGCAAATCTCTTTGATCAGAGAGAAGGTTTTTCATCGGTTTAGGATGATGTTTTGGTAGTTTTGATGGCTGCTCTTCCGCTGGAGGACGGCTTGATTCGATGTCATTGGAGGTCGGCGTTACGGCAAAGGAAACTTTCCTCTGACCACTTGCACCCTCCATTTCAGCATCATATCCGACTTCATCGGCAATAAATGGTGCCATTAACAACGTAGAATCATGAAATATTCCCTCGTCTTCGCCTGCTTCATTCTTTGGAAAAACAAGTTCATTTTGCGAGCCTTCCTCTGTGCTCTTTGTTCTCCGATTACAGGAGTTAATCAGCTCGTTGCTACATAACCAAAGTGTGAAAGTGTTCCCTGAATGTCGGGATTCTCTTGCGGCGTTGTGAGGGAAGATGGCATTATACAGTTGTTCAACATGTTCGGGACACAGCAAGTCTTCCAAGTCGTCCAAAGCTAACAATCGACCGTCCGCTTCGGCAAGCAATTCTTTACAATGTTTCATCGCTGATACGTTGTCTGCCATCAATGCTCTGACCTCCCCTCGCCTGTCGTTCCTCCTGTATTGGCTGGTGAAAAGCTTCAGGTTACACTCCTCTAGTTGCTTACTTTTGCATCTCCCCCCGACACGTATGATCTCTTCCTTAGGAAGGAACTCCAATGCTTTCACTAAAAACTGATCCAACGCGTGGTTAGTGTAACAGACCATAAGCATTGGCGAAACTTCATTTGGGTCCCAAGCCTCTCGGTTCTCAAGTAGGCATCGCACAATTTTTGCCCCGACATACGTCTTTCCAGTTCCTGGAGGACCCTGAATTACTGAAAACTCAGTTGAAAGTGCCATTTTTAAGGCTTCGAGCTGAGACTCGTTAAGAGGAAGTGTCTCAACAGGCGGCCACGCGTCAAGTTGAAGGATCGGAACTCTCTTTGCTTCCGTTGCATCTGGGACATTCAGGGCCTGAGTAAGATCGTAACACACAGGCTCTTGGGTATCCTCGCGTCTCAGGTACTCTGGTGGATCAACTTCCTCGCTGCACTCAACTAGGTATTTCTTGAAAGGCAGGGTTGTTTCATCTAATTCCTTCAGCCCTTTAAGAACATGACAATATGCTTCATAATAAGCAGGCGATTCAACCATTTGATAATCGAAGTTCCGGTTTTCGATCCCAAAGGTGTCCTGTTCTTCTAGGAATCGAATGTCAATTTTTCCGGTTATGAGTTCCTCTGGAATTCTGTTACAAACCGTGGCGAAAAGCATGGTCTCAAAGTTGTCTTTAGAAAGGCAAAGGAAGGAACCAAAGATGAGCCGTTTCGAGTGTGCCCACCTCCGGGTATTGAATCTGGAGATATCAAATTGTACTTTATAAGAAATTCCAGACGGCGTGCACGTCTTTCCGACGATTCGTGCCCCCGGATAATATCTCATTAATTGATTGCGCATTTTTCTCGGCACGTTTTGGATAATTTCGTGAATTCCTTCTCTTAGAGGCTCAAGAAAATCTTCTCTAAGCAATCGAAACTGTACATCGAGATAGTGCTCGGCATCTTCATACCTCCCCTTAGTTATGTTCTTTCGCAGGAAAGGGCGTTCTTGGGTTCTGATTTCTTTAGTAGTAGGGCAAACCGGTAGGTTTCTAAAATTGTTTGGGGGCTTTTGTCCCCCATTGTTGATGTAGTGTTTTCCATGCTTTTGCCTGTTGGCTCTTACGATGTCATCTCTGGCTTGTTTAAAAGCCTGTAATTTCCTCTGTAGCTCCTCTTTACCTACGCTGTTGGACTGATCCAATGTTCTTTTTAATTGATCGTAAGGTAGGTAAGCATAGGAACTAGGCAGGTGTCTCAGATAATTCATGAACACTGTTATAAGCCAGTGAAAAAGTCGTCCATGGACGTCTTGATCATTCAAAGCCAGGCGATCTAACAACCGTGGAATCTTTGAGGTTAAGAATACTGAACCCCTCAGCGCAGTTAAAATCCTGTTAGTATCCTCACCTGGCGGTGCTTTACAAGCATTTGCCAGAGTACAAGTGAGATCCATGATGAATTCATCACTACTGTGCTCTTCATCTGTTGATCTTAGAAAAAACTTAAGACCAGGCATATTCTGATTTAACGCATTCACCACCTCAATTGAATCCATCTTTTTCAATGCTTTTAGATCTAGTGAAAAACATTTTCCGGGGAACATTCCACGTAGATGTGACTGTGTTGTAGGATTTGGTACTAAGCAGGGATCGCTTTTCATGGATTGTGGTCTCCATTGTTGTTGTGCTTGGTTTCTATCTGTATTGCAAGGAGTGAGTTTTAAGCATGACTCTGTTTGCAAGATTAAGGTAAGGGTCATACCTAGCAATTTGAATAAACCTTTCGTAGTTTTTCGTAACTTAATTGCGGTGAAATTCAACTTGTTTATGTTTTAGACTAGCATTTGTAATATTTATCGACTGAAAATAACATCAATTTCCTCTTAAAATGCTCAAGACCGAAGCCAGAAATTTCATGTACATCGATCTTGCTTGATTCACATGTTTCCTGTAGCAAAGCGACTATCACGGTCGAAAACTGTGTTATGTAGCGTGCAAAATGTAGTGGAATGGAAGAATTATCATGACAATCCTCGCGAACTTAAGAACAGTAGGCTTTTTCCTCAGACCATCCAAACTTAATTCCTTTCATTCTTTGGAATAAGTACTCTTCAAACGGTTCATTGAAGTGGAAAATGTTACTTAACAAACGTCACGTTGTAAATATATTTTTCTTTGGAGTTCATATGGTTTTATCCTCACAAAACTTTTGAATTCAGGTGTAAGAAATACGGTTAAAGAAGTAAACAAGGTTTACCCTCCTTACGACCTCCGTAAGCTCAAGTCACATTATAATTTGTCAATAATTGGGAATTTCAAACTTAAGCCATTTGCTATTGTCTTATCGAAAATGTCTTTCACACATGCGATCCCATTTTAAAATCTTCGATATATTCACCTGAACGTTTCCCTTTCCTATGCGATGACTCCGCCTGATGTTCTTTAGAAGTGCCTCTTTCGCGTCCGCTTTGACTTTTCTTTTGTTGATTATTCAAAGTTTGATCTGAAAAAAGCCGTTGGTTTTTATTTCATCAATGTATTGGGCATTAGTCTAACATTTCTCATAGTATAAACGTACTGAAGGTAAACACACATAATGATGTTGAAAACGCAATAAACAGTCACTGATTTCAGCTGCCATTAATTTGTCTGTGTAATTTTATCATGTCTTTTTCGTCGCGGACAGTCCAAAGACAAAAGGAAACGTCGAAACTATTTTTTTTTCCTTTAAAGAGATTTATTCAGTGAGATGCAGACCAAACATCTTCGATAAGTCCCCTACCTTTTGGATGTTTTGGCAGTATTGTATCGATTGACGTACCAGTCGCTCCAATTGGAGACGAAAACTGCTTTCCAGATCCTGTTTTCTTTCGTGCCCCTCCTTGATGAGCGGTGGTGTCTACAAAAACGTATTCAAGATTCAGTAGTCAACACCCAGATATGCTAATTCAAATTTTCCTCTCTTAACAAACAAGCTATTGTTAGATACTTATTCATATTGTTACATGTTGATGGTCCAAAAGTTAGCTGAATACTTTTATCTAACTTGCTTAATAATAGGGCTGGTCTATGATCAAGTCCTGGCTTTTGCAATAAATTCGTGTCAAGGGCTAAACTTTCTAGGTCTTAACTTTCTAGGTCTTAACTTTCTAGGTCTTAACTAGCAGTTTGATTAAACATATGAACATACCTTCGCCAGCCCCTTCTTTGCAGCGAAATGGACCCTTTAATCCTTCTTTCTTGTCTCTCCAATGTTTTGTTCTGATTCGACCTCTCTGGTCTCGCTTGACGGTGCTCTTTGAATTGCCATCTGAAATCAAGAAACAAAACTAACTTCATGCCTGGATGACTCACACTTGAACGAACAAAAACCAAGCTGAACCGAACAAAAATAATTAAAGGAAATTCAAAACATTTTTTAAACCTGGAGGCAAACCGCTGATAAGATCAGCAGGTATGCTCACACCATCATAAAAGCGATAAATAAACAAATAAATGGAAAATTGGTAAATTTGAATGAAATAAAGCTAGCAAGAGTTAAACTACAGCGGTCTATTTATTGATTAATTCATTTCTTTATTACACTTAATGGCACAAATTAATGAGAAAGTGATGTAAAACTAACTAGTCATAAGGATGACCTGTAAAGGGGTAAAATCAAACCCTATACGAGACAGATATTAATCCACCTGTGACCTTACCAAAAACAACAACAACAATCTACTTTTATTTACACAGAGGCAATTGTCATGGCCCGCGTATGGCTTATCGTAATCTAGGGGGGGCAGTCTCCTTAAATCTAATTACAAACATTCGTTATCTAGAAAATGCGATACGATAAGAAAATAAAAAAATAATAGATAAAATAGAGGGGGAAAGAATGAGAACAGATTCACCTTCACTAATGTAATAGAATTGTTCGAAGAATTTTTTTCCTATCGATATTTTACTGTAAAATATCATCTTAAACAGCCGTTGATAAAGAAACCTTAGGTAATCTAACAAATGTAAGAACAAGATAATAAAAGTAAAACTACATGTTATTGATATAATTTGTAAAAAATATAGTTGCTTTCATATTAAAAGGCTCTATGCTCTAGGTTCTCATACATTTAATGTAAGGAAAAAGCGAACATCCAAGGGGAAGGAGCTCCATATTTGACCCGCAATGCAACTGAAAAAGCTAAAGATACAATCATTTGTCCGATTGAAAGTTCTTCTCAAATGAAAATTCATGAGCATGACGCAAAAGTTGCGGTGTGTTTGTGAATAAGATTCAAGGTACAAGGTTCAATATTATCCTCTTTGGATACAAGACAAAAGGAGCATCTTCCTAAGCAGTTCAAGGTTTCCTGCCCTATGAACACATAAGTAAGCTAACTATCAGTTCAAATGAGTGGACTGCGGTATCGTTAAGTCTACCAAGGAATTTTCCTGTTATCGTTACTTTACCTCCTACTTCATCAGCACACGTTCCACATGCGCCTCCTTTTGGCTCAGACGAAGTAGGTTCTTCTGTTCCCGGCTCTTTCCTTCCTTTTTTTCCCTCCGATTCTAAAGGTGTGGACAGATTTAATTGTCAACCAGCTATTTTTAGAAGTGCGTGACTAATATGGCCAGGTTGAACAAAAGGGTTTTACCGTACACGTTTTGGAATTTTAACTCTAGTCCAACACTCTTCCGTTGGTGAAAGATTTGTATTCGTCCTCTGTAATGGCTGAGCAAGTATGCGATTTACACGAACATTATCTTATGAAATTTTNGGCAATGTATGGTTCCTGAGGAAAGCACTGAGGCACTGAGCTTTTTGGCCACAGCTTTGGGGTCTGAATTTCCCCCCTTGTTTAGAGTGGGTGGATTCAAACACTTACCGAGTAATACAGCGGAACAAATATGCAACCACCTTAGAATCGTTCAAGAAACGAAAATGTGAAGTGATGGACTTTTGGAAAATTCGGCTACCTGTTCAGATGTGATCAAATTGAGCCGGAACAATAGACCATTTCTTGATACGCATTGTTTTCTTTCTTGCTATTTTTGTCGGAAGAAACTGAAATACGTTGGAGTAAAATTGTGTGATATGCACAGTCTATAATTAACCACAACCTTATTTAGAAGTGGAAGTCGAGAGGGAAACAATATAGCTACAAAAGATAGCCGAAAATTTGGGAGGCCAGAATAAAAAATAATACGTACGCACTAAACGCGCCCAAAGCGTGTCAAGCCACCTATGAACAAGATTAGAATGTTTGACATTTCAGACTCCGTCTAAATATTGTGTGGGAACGTATGTCACTGGCATATTCGAGAGACCGTTATGACTAAAATTGGAAACAAAATCCCCCTGGAAAAGTATCTTTAAATCCAGATCTACTCTGTTGAACGCAATGAAATGTTCACAATTGCAAACATTCAAAGAAACATTGATGAGAAACAGCACTTATTGTTTGAAAAGATTAAACAAACAGTGCTAATAGGAGGGGGTTCGAGCCCAGTTTGTACGTTGTAGGTTTAACTGCAAATTGTATGCTCAATTCCAAGACTATATTTACTTTCGCGTCATCATATTTATGAATAATGCCATGCTTAAATGTTACCGTCTCTGTTTCAAGGTGCAATTCATTTTTGATCGCTCGTTTGAAAGTCGCTTGAGTAGCTCTGGAGTACGGATGAAAGAAAATATTGGGTTTGCTGTTCAGGCACTAAGACTGACACTTCGTTCATTATTGAAATTCCGAGTCTGTAATAAAGTGGTACGATCCAGAACAATCGACGACATAAAAATTGAAACATCATGTGCGGCTAGCTTCCGCTGAAAACTAAGGACCGACACATACTCATACACGAGCAATAGAAGCGGCTATGTGGTGATCTAGCTCGATATCAATAGAGAAAAAGTGTAAAATGCTCAGAATATGAGCTATGTTCTGTGAATTAGGCGATTAAAATGGCCATTTTGGTTGCGCAACGAAAAAGTCGTGCTTGGATGAGTTCAGTGGGGGAATGCTTTCAGGCTGAATGCTGCAGTCTATGTTAGAGCAAGGCGGAGAATATTTGTGACGAAGCGACATCTTTGTATTAGACCAGATGCCTTTTTGGTTAACAAGCAGTAGACGAAGCTAGATTTTAGACAGAACTATTCTGAAATTCCCTAACGGATGACTTCCCATTCAGCCGGGAAATTTGTTGATCCATGGTTACTGCCGGTCAGTGAGAATTGAGCGTAGTCACTGCTTGTGGATCCTTCTCTGCCGCAGAGAAAATGAATGTCTTCTTGCATGTAAATTCTCAAGCCCATAGCTAAACGGTAAAGCCGGAGGAGTTCAAGACGAATATACTTCCCTTACCTTTAACACATTGACGCATTTGACTTCCGAGAGGGCTAGTCTTATCCTAAACCTGTTTAGATTCTTGTAAAACGAATTATTTTAAAGGTTTCCAATACTGTAGCGGTCTTCAAGGTGTTTGCTTTCTCAAGTAATTAACTTGTTGCTATGATTCTCGGAAATTCGTATACTTATGGTGAGATAAATATATTCCAAAGAAAAACGTTTTGGAAAGGAAGGAATGGACAACGGAGCGACACAAGCACGGGTCCATTCCTATTCACAGCATTAATAAAACATACATTTGAAATGAACGAAATAGATGACTTTGGAACTTTTGGATTGAACACCTTTACATTATTAAAAGCGGACTGAAAAAATGAAAGTTATTTGAATAGAATGATCAAATTAATTTCCTTATTCAATCTTAGGGGTTCCTCGAAGAAGTTGAAAAAGGGTCGTCCTTAGGATGACGATGAC